AGAGAAAAAAAATTTACCATTATTTGAAACAACACAACAATGATGTTATTTGCTTGCAAGAAACTCATATTACATCTAAAGACCAAAAATACTTAAACAATCCTCGTTTGGGATCTCATTTTGTATCTCCCGCCCCTGGGAAAAAAGGGGGTGTGGTAATTTATGTTAAACAGAACTTATCTGCTACCCTGTTAGAATCAGATCCTCATGGAAGATATGTTATGCTTGAACTTGGTTTATACGGCAAGAAAATTCTTATTGTGGGGTTGTATGCACCAAACCAGCAACAGGAGCAATTCTATAGGTTGTTACATCAGAAAATAACTTTGTTGGACTATAGATCTGTGATTTTAATGGGAGACTGGAATGGTGTCTTAGACATACAAAAGGACAAAAAAGGCTCTTCTACTTTTTTTAAACAGGCTAAACTACCTAAAGCCTTCTTTGACATGAAAGAAGATTGGGAATTGAGGGACTATTGGCGTGAATGTAACCTAGAAGAAAGGGATTTTACCTTCTTCTCAGATAGACACCAATCTTTTTCAAGAATTGATTTCTTTTTGATTACAACAGACTTATACAACAGGGTGAAGAATGTAAAAATTTTTCCTAGGACATTGTCTGATCATAGTCCAGTATGGATGGAACTGTTTGCTGAGAAAGAAGACAGGAGATCCTGGAGGGTGAATGAGAATTTATTTAAACAAGAAAAAAATGTTTATAAATTAAAGGAATGTTTAAAGGAATATTTTGCTTTAAATATGAATAAGGGAACATCAATGTCAATGGTGTGGGATGCAAGTAAAGCTTTTATGCGTGGTATCCTGATAAAAATGAATAACTTGCATAGACAGAAACAGATTCAGAAACGTAAAGATTTAGAAGAGGAGATTAAATTAAAAGAGAAACTTTTAATTTCAAATCCTTTAGACGAAAAGGTGAAAGGAGCTTTAAAACTGTTAAAAACACAATTTAACATGTTGATGGCTGATCAAGCTGCAACCAATTTACTATTTATGAAACAAAATACATTTTGTAATGCTAATAAACCAGGGAGATGGTTGGCTTATCAGTTAAGAAAGAAACAGAAACAGAGGAATATAGATAAAATAAATTATAATGGTAAATTGGTCTATCAGAAAGAATTGATTAAGAAATCCTTTTTAGAATACTACCAAAAATTATACAAGAGTGCTAATATTCAAACTACAGACATAAACAATTATTTAGGTAAAGTTAACTTTCCTAAATTAACAGAAGATCAGGAAAAAGAGATTAATGGCTTAATTACTAAAGAAGAAATTGTTACAGCAATTAAACAACTGAAATTGGGCAAAGCGCCGGGTACGGATGGGTTGACATCTATCTATTATAAAACTTTAGTAGAAGAGATGACTCAACCATTGTGTGAATTGTTTAATAACTTATTACAGGGTTTAGAGATCCCTCCATCTTGGCGTAATGCATTTATATCATTGATTCCAAAAGACAATCAAGATCTTACATTGCCTAAAAATTACAGGCCTATATCTCTTTTAAACGTGGATTATAAAATCTTTGCAAAAATCTTAGCTAATAGGCTTATGGGGATCTTGCAGCAGTTTATACATAAGGATCAATCGGGTTTTATAACTGGAAGGTATATGAAAAATAATGTTAGACAAATTATTAACTTATTAGAGTATCTAGAAAAGAATAACCAAGTCTCTGCAGGCCTGATATTTTTGGATGCTGAAAAAGCCTTTGACCAAGTGAATTGGCAGTTTATGTTATGTTTAATTAAGGAGATGAATTTTGGACAAAATATATTACAAGTATTATCTAATATATATCAAAAACAGACTGCTCAACTTATTGTAAATGGGGGTTTGTCAGAGGCTTTTGTAATAGAAAAAGGAACAAGACAGGGATGCCCGTTATCTCCGTTATTGTTTGTTTTAACATTGGAAATTTTGTTGATTAAAATTCGGGAGTCTCAAGAAATAAAAGGAATAGAAATTAATAAAAAAGAATATAAATTAAGATCCTTTGCAGATGACTTGGTTGTTACTTTGTCTCAACCTACTTGTTCGGTGGTAAAATTATTACAATTGATTCAACAATATGGACGTGTTTCTGGTTTTAAAATTAATAATAATAAGACCAAAATATTAGCTAAAAATATGACTAATGGTGATAAACAGGTTTTAGTTAACTTAACAGATTTTGAAATTGTTGATAAGGTAAAATATTTGGGGGTCACATTATCTGCTTCCAATGCAAAACTGTATAAAAATAATTATGAAAAGCTGTGGATGGAGGTACAGAAGGATTTAAAAAATTGGAACAATCTACAGTTATCCCTTATGGGTAGAATTGCAGTTATCAAGATGAATGTCCTGCCAAAGTTTATTTTTTTGTTTCAAATGTTACCTATTTTAAAGAATGAACGTAATTTAGATGAATGGCAAAAAGGTATTAATAAATTTGTTTGGGCAGGGAAAAAAACCAAGGGTGAAACTTAAAATAATGCAAGATTTTCGTGAGAGAGGAGGACTCAAGGTACCAAATATGAATTTGTATTATGATGCTGTAGTATTAACATTGATCAGCGACTGGGTGAATTTAACAAATATAGAAATACTTCATTTGGAAGGTTGGGACTTACTTTTTGGATGGCATGCCTATTTAATATTTAATAAAAAAGTGGACTGGGTTTTTAAGTCTCATGTTATAAGAATTTCTTTGCTTAGAGTGTGGAGAAAGTATTATAAAAGTGACTTCAAAATACCATTATGGGCTATACCTCGGCATGCCATAGAAGGCATAAGGAAAGGGGTTAATATGGATATGGTCTCTTACGCACAGTTACTTAGATGGGATGGCCAAGATCGGCAGTTAAAATCTTTGGAAGAATTAACGCATGAAAATTTAACTTATTCATGGTTCCAATACAGACAAATAGTGGACAGATGGAAGATGGATTGTAAAATGGGCTGGCTTAGAGAAGATGAAGCTCTTTTAAAACAAGTAAGAGATCCAAGGCCAACCCATATTAAGAGAGTTTATGGGGTTTTAGTGGAATTGGACTCAGAACCTGAATTAGTTAAAGATTGTATGATTAAATGGGCACAGAATATTGGTGAAACGATTTCAATGGATACCTGGGAACTTATTTGGATAAGACATGTTAAATTCACACAAGCGCAAAATTTAAGAGAGAATTTTTATAAGATGTTTTATAGATGGCACCTTGATCCAAAGAAAATGTCCATTATGTACCCTAATCTGCAGCCGAAATGCGGGAGATGTGGACATTTGGATGCTACTTATTATCATACTTGGTGGACGTGTAAGCATATAAAAGCTTTTTGGATTAAGATATGGTGGAATATCCAAAGAATTTTTAAACGTAGGGTAAAATTTACTCCGCAATTATTTTTACTAGGTATTGTTACTGATTGTGATGCTAAGGAGGTTATATTGATGTTAAATTTGATTACAGCCGCTAGGCTGTTAATAGGGCAATATTGGAAGAAGGAATCCTTTCCTACTTTGCAAGAGTGGTTTCACAAAGTTTCGTATCTGGCAGAAATGGCAAAGATTTCGGCTTTTTTAAAGGAGCAATCTCAAGAGAAATTCTTTGCAGTATGGGAAAAATGGATAAATTTCATACAATATAATTTGGATATGGAAAAATATCATTTAGCTTTTTTATAACTTGTAATGATTGTTTTTTCTTTTTTTCTTTCTTCCTTTTCTCTTTATGTATTATTACTTATATATATATATATATATTTTTTATATATATGTTCTATTTTTCGTCTACTTTTTTCTTTTTTCTTTCTCTCTCTCTTTTCTTTTCCCTTTTTTTTCTCTCTTTCTTAGTATATATTATTCATTTTAAAGTTTATGTTATGCATATTATTATTACATATATTATTATATATATTATTATTATGACCTTTATTATTTTTATTAATTATCTTATAAATTGTAAACGTTATTTTTTAAAATTTGTTAAATAATCCTATATTCAGTTCTGGGAAGTCGGGGGGGGGGGAGGGTGGGGTGGTTTGGGCGGGGGGGATGTTTATTTGTAAAATTTTTGAAAAATTTCAATAAAAAAAAAAAAAACAAATGAATCTAATCAGTAAAACCCAAAATCCCCCCCTTTTTTAGTCATCAAGTTTTTGATACCTTGCTAAGCATTGGTGGTACTCAAATATTGTCATGTCCTAAAAGTAGTACAATCTGTGAAAAGGTTGAAAAGCCCTGTGTGGATTCTGCCAATATAACTTTTGAAGACATCTAGTTTTCATGCTTCACTATTCTGTTTCCTCTGTTGATTTTAAAAATGCTGAAGTATTCCCATTTTCATTCTTTCTACATCCAAATTTCGGACTGGAAGCAGCCTAGGCTTGCTCAGTAGGTAAGTGCAGGATTGAGGTATCTTTCTCTTACTTTCTCCCTCCTTCTCTGTAGCCTGTATTCCTATCAATCTGACTAAAGCCATTTCCCCACTGAGGACTTCCAATGTCCTCTAACATCGCTCAGACATTGCTGGAGAAAATAAAGCCTGTTCTCCTTACAGCTATAGCAAACAACAGTATTTAAATGACTTGAGGGACGATGCTAGGTAGTGAGGCCAAGTACCTATGTCAATTCTAAGAATGTATAGCCTATTAAAGGTGTGATCAAGAAAGGCAGGAATTGCAGAAGGAAGGAAGGGCTTATTTTCTTCTGCCCTTAATTCAGTCTTTCAAATCTAATTATTGACGTTGACCATATGAGTGAAGAATTCTGAAAGTTAGAGGGTACCAGTTAGGGAAGACAATCAATTATTTATTCAAGTCTGTCTATAAATCTGTCTATGTATCTATTTATCTAGCTCCAAAACTGACAGTAGTCCCTTCTAATGATGATACTTAAAGCCAAAGCACATCTAATGGTTTTAGGATTCTGCGAGCTGTTTTTTAATCTGATAAAAAATCAAATTTCATTTTCTTTTTTTAAAACAGGTGCTGTCCCTTGAGAAATCTAACATGCAATTGGAGCAGAACATCCAAGAGTTTTACACAAAACAAAAATCAACTGGTACCCATGATATGAGTGCCTATTTCAATGCCATGACCCAAATGAAGTCTGAGGTATTATGTTGAAATGGTTTTCTCTTTTTTTTCCTATTAGGGCATCGATACTTAGACATAGGCAATATTAGTGACATGAAACAGGACTGTCTCAAGATATTTTGTTTTTTAGGAAGAGGTCAAAGTGATTCCTCCCCATTGTATATACAGAAGTTGAACAGTTTATATTTTATTTTACATCAGTCACGCTATTTTGTCCTGCACTGAAGCTGAAGGTGGAAACTTCAGGGCAAAGAACTAGCCATGTGGCATGTGAAGTTATATCAGTTTCTGGCCCTCAACAATTGCTTTTTGAGTTGGTGGCTTTATTTATCTCACAAAATTACTTGCAGTGTCATAAAGTTGTGCCTAGACGAAAGTACTAACATTCCTGATTTCAGGTGATAAGAACAGACAGTTTGAGATTGGAATAAGATAAACAAGCCATTGATTCCTAGAAATGTCCCAACACATAAAATATTAGACTCTCTACCTCTCACCTGGCTTAAGTCTAGGAAACCAATTTGGGATAACATATCACAGTGTTATGATCTAGATCAGCGGTAGGCAACCTTGGCTCTTTTATGACTAGTGGACTTCAACTCCCAGAATTCCTGAGCCAGCCATGCTGAGGGAAAAGGGAGAGGTTTCCAAGCTGAGCCATACTGGCTCAGGAATTCTGGGAGTTGAAGTCCACAAGTCATAAAAGAGCCAAGGTTGCCTACCCCTGATCTAGATGAAGAATTGTGATCAAAATGGGCGACTTTAATAACTACAGCCAAATAGGTCACGTAGATCCAACAAAATTATTCCCAGGAATACAGTTGCCCAGAAAAATATGGGGCCACCAAAACAGAATCAGGACAGGCCATACCGAGATTAAGGCAAAGATCTTTAAGTGGGGAATTGCTGAGAGTCAGCAATGTGAATGTGGTGCACCAGAACAAATGATAATTCATAAACTTTGAGAATGTTCCTCCAGGAGATTTCAAAGCACCTGGGATGATCTCATCACAGCCACACCAGAAACAGTTAGATGGTTAGCTTCCTTAGATATTGAGCTATAATATCTATGCTATTGCAACTCTGTGGCACCATATTATAGCAATTTTATCATGGTTTTATCCTAATTTAATATTTAATTTTATCTATTGTATTATCCACACACTTTACATACATGTATATACTTCTCTCTCTCTCTCTCTCTCTCTCTCTCTCTCTCTCTCTCACTCTCACTCTCACTCCCACTCCCACTCCCACTCTCACTCTCACTCTCACTCTCTGTCAGGCGAGGTTCAAGAATTAAGTGCTACATGACAGGCTGAGCACCTTTTATTTGTCCCAACTCTTGTAAACCTAGCAGTTTGAAAGCATGCAAATAAGAGTAGATAAATAGGTACCACTTCAGTGGGAAAGTAACAGTATTCCATGCATCTCAGTGTAGGGTCATGCTGGCCACATGACCACAGACATTTGGACAATGCTGGCTCCCTCAGCAAGAACTGGAGCACTATCCCCTAGAGTTGGACACAACGTATATGGGAAACCTTTACCTTTACTTCTATGATGGTACTTTATTTAATCTTATATTTGTATTTCTATGTATAATGTGTTTTATTAGTGTTATATATCAGTGATTGCATGACCTTTATAGATACCATATCCAAAATAAATTAAACAAATTTTGTACACTTACTTAACAATTTCCTTGCTAAATGGTGTTCTCTATGATGATGTTCGAACTCTTCCCCCCCCCGCAATTTTATTTTTGGTAGATTCAGAAGGAGACTTTGAAAAATGCTGGATTGCTCTTACAGATTGATAATGCCAGACTTGCTGCTGATGATTTCAGGGTGAAGTAAGTTTAGTTAACTGATGTCCTTTACTTTTTCATCACACACATAACCATATTTGTCTTACAGTTGGTTTTCATACTTTTTTTAAAAAACAAATCCATGTACCTGTGTTTTTATTTGTTGGCCTACTGACATGATGCAACTGCTGCCAGAACTGCCGGGACGTGCTATCAGGTATTACACATCAGTCATGAAAGAACAGAAAGGCATCCAAAAAGAGAAGCTACCTTCAATTATAAGGGATGTGAATTTAGGAAAGGACACAGAGGCTTCGAAAGAGGACAGGTGTCTTCCAGGTGCTACTGCCAGTAGGGACAAGAAGCGTATTTCTAAAATAATCAAGAATGGCAGCAAGGACTGTGATGTAGAGGCTATCGTACATCTTGGCACTAATGATCTGTCCCCAAAAGATGTACTCTCTGTGCAGAATGATTTCCAGAGCTTGGGGAAGGAACTTAGCAGAATAGGCTGTAGGCTTACTTTCTCAGAGGTTTTATCAGTATATAAGGAGCAAAATGGAAAAGGCCAGCATATAGCACAATTCAATATGTGGCTAAAGGAGTGATGTAAAGGGGAAGGATTTGGATATATTAGTCACGATGTCTGTAGCTGGTCCAATAAAAAGATGTACAAAAGAGATGGTTTGCATCCATCAAAGAAAGGGACTGAATTACTTGGCTATACATTCACAGATTTTCTGGAGGAAAATTTAAACTAAACAGTGGGGACAGTGAGTTAATTGATAAGAACAACCCTGTCCCTGGCAATCTAAAAATTATAGGGCTATCAGTGCATGTAACATAGATGTGTGTGTGGACAAGAATACCAACCTTGCTGTCAAGCAAAATCAAGCCTCTAATAGTGAGTGCCACACAAAGTGCACTAACCAAGACAGTAGGGGAACTCAGGCACAACACAAGTTGTGTAGAAAGTAAACACAGGGCCAGTCATAAAAGACTCAAATGTTTATACACCAATGTACAGAGTATGAATAGCAAACAGGGTGAACTAGAAATTAATGAGGGCAGGTATGATATTGTTGCCATTATGGAAACATGGTGGGATGAAACCCACACATGGAACACACAGCTAGAGGGATTTAAATTATTTAAAAGAAATAGACCAAATAAAAGAGGAGGTGGAGTTGCTCTCTCTATAAGAAATGACTACATCTCTACAGAAATAGAGCACAACAATGATAAAAACTGTCTTGAATGCATTTGGGTCAATATAAAAGGGGAAAAATGACATTGTCATAGGTGTGTACTACAGGCCACCCAACCAAACAGAGGAAATAGATGAACTTTTTGCTAGTCAGCTAACTAAGGTATGTAGGAAGCACATCACAATAGTAATGGGGGACCTTAACTACTCTGACATCAACTGAGAGACAAAATCTGCACCAAGTGGAAGATCAAACAGGTTCCTGGCAAACCTAGCAGACAACTTTGTCTCCCAAAAAGTAGAGAAAGGAACTAGGGGATTAGGCATTTTGGATCTAATTCTCACTAACAGAGATTAAATAATAGAAAGTGTTGAAGCCATAGGAACCCTGGGAGGAAGTGATCATACAATATTAGAATTCAACATTATGGAAGCACAAGCAATAGAACACAGTCAAACTAGAGTCTTGGACTTCAAGAGAGCTAATTTCAATAAACTTAGGGAGGGCTTGGGAAGGATTCCATGGATGAGAATCCTCAAGGGGAAAACAACTCAAGAAGCTTGGGAAATTTTGAAAAATGAGATAATAAAAGCCCAGTCTAGCACAATATCAACAAAGAGAAAAAATAACATCTCTCAAAAGAAACCAGCATGGCTGCATAAAGAACTCTCAGACAAATTGAAAGGTAAAAAGGACAACTATAGAAAGTGGAAAGGGGGGCACATAACTAAGTCAGAATATCAGCAAATAGCCTGAGCCTCCAAAGATGAAGTGAGGAAAGCAAAGGCTCAAAATGAACTAAGGCTTGTGACCGAAATCAAAAATAACAAAAAAAGCTTCTTTCAACATGTAAAAAACAAGAAAAAAGTGAAGGAAATGATTGGTCCATTAGTGGGTGAAAGTGGCAAGAAGGTGACAAGCAACAGGGAGAAAGCAGAATTATTTAACTCGTTTTTTGCATTTGTCTTTACACAAAGGGAAAAAACAGACCAACCTATCAAAAATAGTGCCATAAAAAACAGAATAGAAACACAAGTTAAGATAGGCAAGAAAATGGTAAGTGAGCACCTGTCCAGCCTAGACGAGTTCAAATTGCCAGGACCAGATGGATTACACCCAAAGGTTCTCAAGGAACTGGCAGATGTGATCTCAGAACCACTGAACTATATTTTTCAAAGATTCTGGAACACAGGGGAACTACCAGAGGACTGGAAAAGAGCTGATGTAGTTCCCATCTACAAAAAAGGAAAATTACAAAAAAGGAAATTACAGACCTATCAGCCTGACCTCAATACCTGGGAAGATCCTGGAAAAGATAATCAAACAACAAATCAGCGAACACCTAGAGGCAAACAAAGTCATTACTAAAAGCCAACATGGGTTTGTCAAAAATAGATCATGCCACTACCCAAGGTGGTTTCCTCTCCCACAACTTTAACCATACAACAACAACAACAACCTAAACATATACCATCGACCCAGCCACCACCTTCCCCTCCTTTGCCAGCTCTGTCTGCACAAGAGATTAAAGACATAATGGGAGATGCTGTATCTCAAATTAGAGATGAAATGAAGCAACTTGTTGTACAGATTAAATCTGAAATTAAAGTGGAATTAAATGAAATGAAGGACTCATTAGAGGATAATAATACTATTATGCGGCAAGATATAGTTACAGCCCTATTAGGTTTGGCTTCTGTGGTGGTGAAGCTGGACTCGAGAGTGGAGGAAGTCGCAGACAAAGTTGACTTTTTTGAGGATAAATTTCAAGATATGGAAAAGAAGATGGTGATTTCACAAGAAGATATCCTTATGTCTCAGTATAGGGAGATGGAGCACGCCCTGAGGATCAGGGGTCTGAAGGAGGACATGAATCAAGATTTGATGGAGATGGTGCTTAGTGATTTAGCTGTTGCTTTGAATATGGATAAAGGAGAATTACGCAGAGAAGTAGAAAAAATTTATAGAGTTAATTCCTGGATTGCGAAGCAGAAGAACTTGCCTAGAGATGTTGTGATTTATTTTACAAAGAAGTCTCTGCGTAATGAAATTATACAAGCTTTTTATAATAAGAGATTCCAGATTGCTGCCCAAGATGTTATCATTCTAAAGGAAATCCCATCAAAAATTTTAAGAAACAGGAAAGATTTTGCTTTCTTAGCTAATGAGCTTAAAGCTAGATTGATGCCATTCAGATGGGAGATTCTGACGGGCATTGCTCTGAGCCATGCGGGGATGCGTCACAGGCTGAACACGGTTGACAAAGCTAAAGAGTTTTATAATACGGTCCTGGGTGCAGGCTCAGCTTCATCTGTTCAGAAGCTCTTGAGTGGTAAAGAGCTGGAACAGCAACCTGAAACATTAGGTCTGATCTCTGCTGGGAAGATGCAAGCTGAATGGCAACGTCAAACAGAGGTTAAAGAGCAGAGGATGACCCGTGCAGCACATAGACGTAAGGAAAAGGAGCAACAAAAGAAAGAAATTAAAGAATCTTCTTCGGAAAGTGCTTCATTGCCGGTGGGAGGAGCAAGACCCAAGAGTTCTGCAACACATACAGCAATGGCAGACCTCCAGGTAGTCTTCTCCAGGCTCCTGGTCAAGGGAGATGGCAAAGTTTCTGACCTGGAATGTTAACGGTCTAAATTCCCCTCAGAAAAGAAAGAAAATCTTTTACTACTTAAAGCAACATAACAATGATGTTATTTGCCTACAGGAAACTCATATTTTACTTAAAGATCAAAAATATTTAGTTAACGCCCGTCTGGGATCTCATTTTGTATCTGCAGCTCCTGGGAAAAAGGGGGGAGTGGTTATTTATGTGAAGCAAAATTTACCAGCTTGTCTGGTAGAATCAGATCCCCAAGGAAGATATGTAATGATTGAACTTGGTTTATATGGTAAGAAAATACTTATAGTGGGACTTTATGCACCAAATCAGCAACAGGAACAATTTTATAGATTGTTACATCAAAAAATAACTTTGCTGGACTATAGATCCGTGATATTAATGGGTGATTGGAATGGTGTCTTAGATATACAAAGGGACAAGAAAGGTTCTTGTCCTCTTTTTAAACAGGCAAAACTACCTAAAGCCTTTTTTGACATGAAAGAGGACTGGGAATTAAGGGACTATTGGCGGGAATGTAATCAAGAGGAGAGAGACTTTACCTTCTTCTCAGATAGACACCAATCCTTTTCAAGAATTGATTTCTTTTTGATTACAACGGATTTATATAATAGAGTAAAAAATGTAAAGATTTTTCCTAGATCGCTGATGGATCATAGTCCAGTTTGGATGGAGCTGACTCAAGAAAAAGAGGAGAGAAGATCCTGGAGGGTGAATGAGAACTTATTTAGACAAGAAAAGAATGTTCAAAAGTTAAAGGAGTGTTTAAAGGATTATTTTGCTTTGAATATGTATAAGGGGACTTCAATGTCAATGGTATGGGATGCAGGTAAAGCATTTATGCGTGGGATTTTGATAAAAATGAATAACTTTCATAGGCAAAAGCAGATTCAGAAATGTAAAGAATTGGAAGATGAGATCAAATTAAAAGAAAAGTTTTTGATTTTAAATCCTTCAGATGAAAGGATTAAAGAATCTATAAAGTTGCTAAGAACACAATTTAACATGTTGATGGCGGATCAATCCGCAACCAATTTATTGTTTATGAAACAAAATACATTTTGTAATGCTAATAAACCAGGGAGATGGTTGGCTTATCAACTAAGAAAGAAACAGAGACAGAGAATAATAGATAAAATAAACTATAAGGGTAAACTAGTGTATCAGAAGGAATTGATTAAGAAATCTTTTTTAGATTACTATCAAAAATT